GAGGAGGTTGGGAGGTCAACTCCTAAAATATATAAAAATTAAATAATGAGAAACCAAGAGATTTAATTACCTTGAGACAGATGTGGCATTCTGTCCACCTCTTCCCTTCATTATAATCTGCAATCTCTCTCCCTTCACCATTAATGGGGCCGGTTAGATGTTGGAGGAAACATAATTCGGCTTTTTTTAACTTTTAACCCGCGCCAAAAATTATTTATATTTGGTAATAAAAAATATATATAAAATTTGTATATATAAGTTTTATGTATAAAATACAGAATGTATATATATATACAAAAATATACAAGAAAATATACCACTTATTTTCGACTATTATTTTGAAAGCGACTATACGGTGTTATTTTTCAAATATAATACTGCAACTTAGCTTGCTCTACCACGGCATGCTAAAGCTAAACATTATATTGTGTATTAATTAGTATTGAAATTATTACTCCCTCTATTCTTTTGTACTAGTTCTCTATTAACTTGACACACTCTTAAGAATTACATATTAAGGATTTATTTTATTAAATTATCCTTGTTAATTGGTTATTAGTGTTGTAACTCCTCCAACAAATTTGAAAAGTATGGGTACTTAATACTAAGGGTAATACTGAAAGAAAATAATATATTTCTCTTAATTTAATTACTAAAATAAACAAGTAAAAAAACTTATTTTTTAGTATAAGAGACTAGTAAAAGAGGCGGAGGGAGCATTAAGAGTTTATTTATTGTAACTATCTGGTATTCGAAATCCAACGACACTATAATAAATTCAGATTCGCGCCACATAGGGTACATTAAAGGAAAAACAATATCTATTAGAAGTTTTTTATTCTCAGGACTCGCACCCGAAATCTTTGGCTGTATGTAAATTTAAAGTTTTAATAGATTAAGGGGTAGGGTAGAGGGGATGTGAGATTCTTCTATGAAGGTGCAGCCCTTCTTCTATTCAATCATGCATATGTACACATGAATGAATGATTCTTGCATTGCACGGATTTATTTATATATAATAAAATAAAATTTCAAATTTCTGTTTTTCATATCTTTATAATTGATCTTGCAGCTTGAAAAATCTCTCTCTTCCAGCTTTCTCTCTCACACATACACACACCACCGCATATCAACATGATTGCATGTATTTCCTAATTGACCAATGAATAATAATCTCTCGTGAAGAAAAGCCAACCTCATTTTATTTCATTTCACATTATGAACTATGTATATGACTGGAAAAGAAGTCTAAAACTCTAAATTTTGTTATTTGGAGGATTTTTTGAGTGGAAAATGAAGCAACTGAGTAACCTAACAAACTTGAAACTTTGAACAACCTTAACTTAACAGCTAATTAAAAAAAAGGCTTGTAGAAAGCATCCCGCATTCACACAGAGTCCGAGGAAAGACTATACTTCAAAGAGGTCTGATGTATACAGTCAACTCTAAAAAAGGTAATCCGGTGCACAAAATACACTGTATTCACGCACAACCACAATCAGGAAACGGGCGAAGGAGTGTGATACAACACAGCCAAAATTAATGATGGGGTGAGAGAGGCTCGACCTCTCGACCTCAGGATTACTCTTAAGCTATGAGACCTACGCGCTAGCCAACTGCGCCACCACCCCGATGTTGTCTGATTTCTATTAATTACAATAATATCGAATTATTTCGTTTTTAAACAGCTTTTGACCCCCTCCTTTAAGGTGCTAAAAATTTCCCATAAATTTTCAATAAAGGGCCGGAGGAGCAACGGATTGAGAAGCACATCAAGATATTCAGTAGGGACTAATGCAAATTCTTGTTTGTATTACGTATAACTTTTTTAATATTTTCAAATAAAACCTTTTAAAAAAAATTGTAAATAATTAAAAACCCAATTATACAAGAAAATTCTTATATATAAATAAACACGGGTCAATTTCACCTTACGCTTTGTAACATCAAAATCATAAAACTATTTTTTGTAACAATAATTTCATCAAACTATGCAGCAAATCATTTTTTTCTTTTGGTTTCTTTAATTTCTATGTTTTCTTATTGATTATGTTTAAATTATAGTTTATGAAAAGGTCGATCTTTGTTACAACAAAATTTCTCCTGTGGCATGTACACAGAGGCAAAATTATAATGTGACGACAACATCATTTCTTGGTGTTAGAAATTTGACTTTTTCATGATTTATAATATTTTCTGTGTATCTAATACATAGTTTAGTGACTTTATTGTCACAAAAATTAGTTTGTGACGTATAGTGTTATAAATAGTTTGTTTCGTAACTATATTGTTACAAAAAATAATTCTGTAACTTTAGTGTTACAAAGAGTAAGTTTAGTGACCATAGATGAAATTCACCCAAATAAATATACTTACTTTTCATTTCTATCAGCTGAGAACTGTGAATATTCTCTTTCATTTTATGTGTTCTGTTTCTAAAAGAATTATAATTTAATTAGTTTCAAACTCCTCATTTTAGTGTTAACGAGATGCTTTAAGCATATTTAAAAGATCATAAATTTTGAAAAGTAATCTTGTTTTATCATAAGTGTTTTCGTATGTGATCTTGCAGTTTCCATGAAATGATGAACTCTTGAATTATTTTCACGAGCACAAGATATACCATTTTTGTGCAAGGTGTTAATATTAATTAAGCTTAATAGCATTTCTTTTGCTTTGGCTCTTAGAATGTTGTCGAGTCTAATGGAACTTATATAAAATAACTATGCCTTAATTTTAAGCAAGTTAGTATATATTGCAAGGATTTACTATAAATTTATTTGTTTTTGCTAGCTGTCTAACACAATCATCCTTCTTTATTCGAGCTTGGGACTGACAATATGAGCAAGCTTACACAAGCGGAGTTCTCGAGTCTAATGGAACTGAAGCTTTTAGTTCTGAACCTCGCAAGATACCTTCCACTTGGATGATGAGTTATAATAACGTTCTAAACTTGAATTCAATAGCTTTTGCTCAGACGAATTCATACAGCTTTTATAGTATTAATTTGATATGTTGTTATAGGAACCCGTCAACTATAAATTCTGTATCCGTCTTTGATGCTAGTGTCTGCTTTTTCTTTGTGTTCCATAGAATGGTGGTTCCTTTTGTCCTTTATGTGTGTGCTCGTCGAAATATCAGGGGCGGAGCCAATGTTCTGGCTATGGGTTCGGCGAACCCAGTAGCTTTGATTCAAATTATGTAGTTGTCTTGAATAATTCATTGATTATTTGCAATTTAATAATTTAGAATCCAGTAATTTAAAATGCTAAGAATTTCGAACCCATAAAATTAAAATCCTAACTCTGCCTGTGA